AACCTTGGAGCAGAATCCTCATCAATAGTATGATTAAACACGTTATTTCCAATGCAAAGTCGAATAGTGCTCACACACCTTTGCTCCAACTCTGCCTATTCAACATCCTTCATGTCATCTGGTTGCCTTTCCTTCTTTCCTAGCAAGGGACGCATTAAGCTTTGCTGTGCAAGGAGATTTTTCATCCTTCTTTGCCATTGCGTGAAACTAGTCTTTCCATCAAACTTCTCAATTGAAAAATTTGTAGAACTAGTAACTTTCAACATCCTTATTGAATCTTGAATTTTACAGAACCCGATGCTCTAATACCAGTTTGTTATGGAAATTGCCCAAGAAATAACAAAGATAAAACTCAAAGAAATTAAACAAATAGAAAAATACAAGAATTTACGTGGTTTGGCCTCTTGTCTACGTCCATGGAGTGAAACTATTCTTATGTTATTGAGAAATTAAAGTACAATAAATTGACCTCTATGGCTCTCCAAACCAACCCAAGATCCTTGCACACTCTTTCTCAATAACCTCCCAAGAACACTCACCCAAATCACTCTAGCTCCACCTAGAGCAAAAGACAGAGTTACAAAGTGTCCTTTCTCTAAGACTCTCAAAGTACTACTTACAATTCTAAAGCCTAGAGATCCACTTTTATAGTATAAAAGTCCAAAGTAGAATGTGATTAGGACTCTATGTGGAATGAGAAGTTTAAAACTATACAACTACTTAATGTTGTACATAAACCAAAATTCTAATCAAATAAGATATAAAATTCTAGTCAACCTAAAACTCAACACTTTACCTTGTCTTTTTTTTTTCTAGTATATTAGACCTTGTTGTAAAGAAAATATACTTTTTGTTTCACTTTATTAGGGGTATTTATCAAAATATATTACTTGTATTCTTCATGGTAGTCTCATCTAATATATGGTGATGAAACAACCCTGCCTTACTCCTCCAGTGCAGCAAGAAAGGGTTTCATATTGATCTGGTTTGGTTCTTCATTGTAGTCTCATCATCAAGCTTGCACTCTTTCATCCTCAATGGTTACCGTGTAAAATCCTTCAAGACTAAATCTAAACAACCAAAGATATTGTCATTGGGCCTCAATTTCTCCTATGTGGGGTAATATACTTGCATTGAACATGAGTGCAACACACCATCAACCCACCATCAACAACAATAGAAACAACATACTGGGAACATTTCCAAACATTTTCTAAGGGACCATGTCATCACTTTATTTCCTTTAGGAACATTGACAAGAGGATCTAAAAGCCATGTGATTGATTCCTTCAAGGGAAAGTATCGATACCTGATGGGAAATATCAATATGTCCCCCACGAGTATTAATACCTAGCAACCGTTGTTGTATGATAGGACTTATTATCATCCTATAAAAGGTTTTTCATGTATTTTCACATTTTCGTTTTTATCCAAACTTTTATGGGATTTCAATTTCAACTAAAAATCATTTAAATGATGTATGGAAGCAATTTTATCATATAAGGCAAGGTGAGTGTTGTTGATTTTGTACATGCAAATATACATATCATTCAAGTATAGTAGAAGTAAGTCAAATATCGTTTCCCATAGAGATTTGCTCTCAAACTTTTACTAAGTATTAAATTTGTAACAAAATTTGTCTTATCCAAGTACTTAATTTTAAACACTTAATTAATGTACAATTTTCTACTGAAACCTATAAGGATATGAATTTAATTTTACTAAAGAAACTATTATTGTAAAGACCTAGGATCATGGTGTCTCTCAATATTTCATTCAAATCTAATCTTTTCCTTAAAACTTAGATTAATGAGGTGAATGGCTAACTTAGAATTCGATTTTATGTACATGTCTCTATTGAGCTTCTAACACACATACTTTTCAAATTTAATCCTATATGTCTATGTAAATTAGTTAAGAAAAGCTCATTAAGTTTATATTCTAATTTGGCTGTCTATGGTATTTAAATATAAGTCTATCCTAAATACCAATCTATCACCTAACCTAACATAAGATATTCAAATCAATGGTCTAATCTAAACTCCTTCAATCGAGTTATATTTAAACAACCTAATCATTTCAACTGGTGATCAAACAGTGAAAAGCATTAAACATATATTTAAATAAACCATACAATACCCATTAATACTAACAAAAGACACATCGTATATTCAAACTATATATTGAAATAACCCATAATCTTAGAAGAGGAAATTAATTCATCATCGTTTCTTCAGCAAACAACATAGTTTTAAGAGAATAAATCATTTCAACAACAAGAGAATAAAAGAGAAATGAAAAACTAGTATGAAGAACAAGTCTGTCGTTGATTCTCGATCTTCAATCTTTGTCGCTTTTTTCTCATTTCCTCCATTTGTAGAACTTTTTTCTTTTCTTCCTAGACCTTCTATTTCAATTGTAGAAAATCACATATTTATAGCTACCAAAAAACCCTAAAAAGTGAAATCCCAAATAGTTGTGTTTGAGTAAAACATGTTAGAGCATCACGAACTTCCTTTTTGAGTGTTGCGGCCCTTTCCACTTAAATATTTTTTTCAGTGACTTCCATCTGGCGCCACGACCTTCCTCCATGACTGCTACGAAGCTGAACTCTCGAGATTTAGTATGGGAGAAATGTTGCTCCTTTGGGCATTGCAGCCTCAAGTCTTTCAAAGTAGAGGCACTGCTCTTTTTTCTACCTTGGTGCAAAACCGCCATAGTACTTCATCTTGCAATTCAATTTTCTCCTACCTTGAGGCTGATCTTGTTACGACCCAGACTTGAAGGTCTGTGATTGGCACATGAGCCTGGCAAGCAAACCCAGGAGACTCGAGCAAGCTTTAGGGATTCAAAATCAAATAACACGTAACCAAGGGATTTCATATGTCATAGTCATAGATAAAATTCAAGTTTAACATAGTACACCATTGTTGGCTCATAATTCATATAATTATCATAAGCTCACAAATCAACCATTTAAGGTGGGTTTGTACATAACAACCTTCAGTACACAATGTTACATGACACTTAGTGCCTACAATATCTAGAATACATTTCTTTCTTAACTTAAAATTTAGAGTGCATAAGCTAATGTGGACTTGACCCAGCAAAGTGACCAAAATGGAGACTCTACTAGATGCCAAAATCGATCTATCAATAGACAACCCTTGCCATGCTCTATCTAATAACCTATTTATCTGCATATGGTACAACATGGGTGAGTACTATAATACTCAGTGAGTGTTTCTCATAATCATAATCATATACATACATTAAACACATAATAAAAATTGCACTCTCAATGCATCTACGTGATTTACAAAACATCTCCAAATATAGGGCATATCATTATCCTTAAGTCTCCAACATGAGGGCATATCATTGTCTCCAAGATCTTCAAAGATTATCACTTACATCATTAGACTTACCGTCAAAGCCAATCATAGTTAGTCACATCATTTTCCACAGCACATTCTACTTATCAAAATATAACATCGAACAATATCATGTTTATCTAATCCTCTCTTAGGTTATCTCGCATCATATACACATCAAATCAATGAGTGGTCTTTCCTTGGACATAGTTAAATCATGCATGGTGGCCAGCCAATGAAGAAACAAATCACACCCAGCGCCGAAGTAGCTGATGGATCATAAGTCACACTCATGTTGAAGCAACAGGAAAAGAATCAAATCACACTTAATGCTAAAAAAGCTAATGGAGAATCATATTATCGACTAGAATAATCTCCTATCGACATCATTAGTCGAAGTAATCTCTCAAAAACCGACATCACGGTATTGCAGGTGAGAATCACAAGTAGGATTAAACCACAACCCCTATTTACCACCATCCCTGCTTACACACACACATAGTCACAAGGTAATGGGACCCATTTAACCTCAAGTCAAATTGACGTTCGAAATTCATTTCTCGAACCAAACACAATACCACAATGAGACCATCATGTCTTTATTTTTCCATATGTCCATGACATAGCAACAATCACATTTATCGAGCTTTATTCATCAATAAGCTCATTTAAGTTCTAAGTGCCTCAATAGTCATGGCTCACTAGCTACATATATATCATTAATCTCATTTTAATTTAATCATGGCCTAATAATCGCATATACATAAAAAATATCACAATAGATCATACATCAATATTCTGTCAACAAATGGGTAATTTAATCCTACATCGTAGTATTACCATCACACTAGTTTAGCCACAAGATGTTTTAAAGTTGGTTTGGAGTGGGTAAGTGTTAAAATGGGTTAAAGGGTTGCAATTTAGGGAGAAAGGTGAAAAAATTTGAAGTTAGGATAAAAATTTAGGGAGAAAAGGGTTT